ACTTGTTTCATACCAATGACAGGAAAAAAGACTGTATGGCTCCTTCTCCCACCTGATGTTGTTGTTGTATCTGTCACTTGTCAGCAGAAAACTCTGAATATCCAGTAGAAAAAATCTGTCATCAAAAGGATATACTCAAAGGTCCGTCTTAATTGTATTCAGGAATTATATTTGTTAATTCCTGTTATATTCGGGAATTGTTTGTGATTCTTGATAAAATGATCATTTAGCCATCACAGAAATGTGTCACTGAAACAGATGTTTAGACACTGAAAATTCAGTGTGTCCTGTCATAGCTTCTCAGGATGAGTCCCAAAGAGCAGAGAAGCTGCTTTTTTTTTCCTTCCTTCCCCTCTCCTTTCCCAATTAATTGGTTATACAGTAGATGTAGGGCTGGATTCTATCCAGGGAAAGCTTTGGCTTCTCTAGCTTAACGTATTGTTTTTCTTATAGCCTGCAGTATCTGTCTATTTATTGATATTGCTCATCTTGGTTTGGTCTGATTTACCTTTAAAGGAAAAGTAACTGTCAGGAGCCCTAACTACAAACGTAGAACATATTTCATAGCACCGTCTGCTGCAGGTACAAGTTAGTGAGCCTGTGTGTGACCTACATGTGTGCTGGGGAGCTCTGAGAGCAGGAAAAACAGCGTTTCTGAAAGGTGGGGAAGGCAACAGGTGTTGTTTCTTTCAGTTGTTTTCCAATTACTTTTGGCTAGCGTAGCAGCTATGCCACTTTGCATAATGACAAAGAACATGATGAGTTTTCCTCTGAAATTGCACTCCTTTTTGCACAGGAAGCTCCAGCAGAGCTTGATGCGTATCCAGAAGCTTGAGTTACAGTCCGAATGTTCTGGGAGAAAGGTCCTGCGGAGGGGGGGACTTCTGTGGGTTCTCGTTGCCCCGCGGGTGCTTCTGAACATTCCCGCTATTGTACGTGCCCTGAAAGGTCAGCCTAAGAATTCAGGAGAACGAGGCAAGTTGGACTAAAAACATTGTCAGAAGGCAACCCTTCTTGTTTTACTGCTGCCTTTGAATCCTCGCTGGAGTTAATTAGAAGCAATAAAACATAACTAAATGTCCCTCGGTGAGGCAAGAACACTGGCTCTTTCAGTTATACTGAGGCCTCAAATGGGAGCACAGTGGTGGCGGGGGAGGAGATGTTGAAAGAGCAAAGTCTTGGAGAGGAGATCCATGGAATCTGACACAGTGATCGGAGTCGTACCTTGGAAGCGTGGGGGCTGGCTGCAAGTTATACAGGGGTGGTAGCCACGTTCCTGTTTGCGCTGTGGAGACACAAAGGTGACCAGATCTTTAAATGCATGTTGTGCTGCTGAAAGCATCTTGGGATGCTTTGGCCTTTCAACATCTTCATGTCCTAAGAAACTGAACTTTGTAGCCCCACAGTCTTGTTGATAGTGCTTGAATATTGCAGAACATTTGCCTGAGATGTATGTTCACTAACCAGAACCAAATATGATAGCATTGAACTGAAAACTCTGAGTCTGTTTTTAGGATGATACTGTGTCTAAAGGAGTAAAGTTGTAAACATACGCTGCAAAAAAAGAAGAAATGACTGATCTGTCTCCAGTGCCTGCATTCATGCCTCCTCCTTTGCATGGACACTAGCATTCTAGTTTTCCAAGTTCAAAGCAATAGCTTGGGTCAGGAAAACAATCCAGCTACGAACAAATCCAGGTAGACAAGTACAGATGAATGTTTGGCTTTCCCAGCAGCCTGACCAGAATTGGGGCCAGCACAAGGGGAAGGGCAGCAAGAAGCACCTTCATGGGAGAGGTGCCCAACTGCTCTTTCGGCAGCAGCCAAAACTCAGTTGGCTTAAAGAAATTAGGAACTAACCGTAGGAACATACTTGAGCTTTTGGATCCTTCAGAAATATTTGCTTTGTTTTATTTCATTTTATTTTTGTCTTGTGTTTGGTACACTGGCAATCAATTGTCACCACTGCTGTTTTGAATGATGGCATATGATCCGTGCTAGTCCAAAAGTAATAAATCCCAACTACATGAATCCCATCTGAAGGCGCAACCTGGCAGAACATCATGCCTTTGCTCTGAGATGAGCCTGTATGACAGAAGGGAAGAGGGTTGTGAATGTGGAGTTACTTATTGTTTTCATTCTAGGAATAGATGCTTTTAAGCAGTGGAATTCCCTCAGCTTTTGAATATGTCTGTGAAATGTAAGATAACAGCTTCCACTTAAAAAGGAGACTGGGAGAGGTTGATTTTTCATTCAGAGGTTTATTTTTTCTTCACCCTGCCCTTAAAATAAATAAATAATAAATAAAAATAAATGATATAAATACATTTTGTTTTTCTGTTGTTTAACATCTTGGATGAACCTCTTAATGCCTTGTTCATTTGAGGAAATACTAGTCAATAATGGTTTAAGTCAAAATGGGACATAATTTTAATCAAGTCATTGGAATCAATGCATTCAAGGCAAAAATCGTGTTTAAAAAAGCAATTTGAAAGAAAATCAAAATTCATATGCGACTTAAAACATGAAAACATTTAAACCCTATTAAACCTACATTGCTTTCAGCTAAGGACTCTTGGATTGATGAATGCAATATATGAGGATAAAGCTGATAGTGTTTAGTATTTTATGATTTTTTCAAGCCATTATATCATGTTTAGAATCTATGAAATTATTAATTTAATCATACTAACAGGTTTTCCAGTTTTCTAGCAGTGACCCTGCACATGGTTCAGGTGTGACTAGTGACATTTTTGTTCAAAAACAAAAAGAAAACCCTCCCATTTATATATCTCTTTTCCACTGATCTTCCAGCAATTATTAAGCAGCATTTGCTGCTTTCTTTATTCTTCCCACCCCTCATCCTTGACTCCTCATCCCCTCTTCTCTTAAGCTTCACGTTCTCAAGATGTGTACATTTGTAATAAGCTCAGAGGAAGAAGCCCTTATGTGCAATCCCATAGCATCAAGCGTCCTGTGGAGGCTAAAAAGTCTGTAAATCGGCTGCATGGCAGAAGAGGAGACGGGCCAGGCTGCGTCGCTTTGATTTGTGCCCTACGCTGGGACTGGCTTCACACTGTGGAGCAGGTCTGGATTTCAGGCACACAATCGTTTTGGATACTTGGTGATTTAGTGACTTTGGCTTGTGCTATTAGAGAGACCCAGGGCCCTGGTGGGGCGATACGAAGCCAGCTCTGCATTTGGATTCTGAACACGCGTGTGAGTAGAGATCGGCTCCTGGAATTTGATCTTTGGCTCTCTTTGAGGAACGGTGCTGGTGGAGCTGGTTGCCAGAGCTGCGAGTTTTAGGAGCAATAGCAACTATGCATTGGAGAAAGAAGATGAGGTCATCGGTGCCTCTGAAGCTGTTACCCTTATCTACTGTGCACAGAGGCAGGAGAGCAATAGGTAGCAAAGGAGGAGAACCAAGAGCAGCTGGAAGAGGAAGCCCGTGTTGTTCCTTCATCATCCCGGGCCCGGGACAGGTCGTACAGGACGTGCTCTTCCCTGCTTTCGCTCCTGGAGCCCTTTGGCTGCTGCACAGTAAGTGTTGCCTCACTGCCATGAGTGTGGAGCGAGCCGATCGTGGCTCTGTTTTGCCTGTGGGCCGGAAGTTTCCATTTCTCATCATTAATGTGACAGGGGCTCTTTGCACAGTGTCCCTCCTAATTGCCGAGCTCGCTTGCTCGTGTTTTTAAATCAGCCTCTTGGATGGCATCGCTCCAAGGGGTGTCATCGTGTGGGTGGTCAGAGAGGCCTGGGGGACGAGGACATGTCTGAGAGGGGGACGTTTTGTCCCTGCAAAATACAGAGGAGTTGCTGAAAGACAGAGGTGTTCAGTGGTTTTGAATACAGCTGCTCTTAGCTGTACAGAGTGAGAGTGATAGTGCCGAACCTGTGGAACTGGGGATTGCCACAAGAACTGCAGTAAGAAAATGGCAGTTTTCACAAGTTCTGTGTTCTTGTAACAAAAACCAGCAGCTCAGAGTTTCTGGGACAGGGATGATATTCAGCTGTTGGTTTTGATAATGTGTTTGCAGAGTAAGACCTAGCTGCCTTTGTTCTCAGGAGAAAAGAGCAACAAATCCTACAACTGAATAGTATATGTAAATGCTTTTTAGGCTTTTGACTGCTGGTGGATCAGGGGATACTCTGAAGTGCCTGATCAAATATTGGAGTGCATTCAATAAACCGGGGCTAATGGGTCAGGTTATAAGAGCCCGAGCAGAATTAAACCCCATAAATCTTCTCTCTTGTGTTGATAACAATAGAGAGAGAGGCTGATGCCTGTTGGCATTTTGAAAAAAATGTAGTTTTCCTGTAGGCCAAGTATAAGAAGTTGTTCCAAACTTCAAGCCATGTTGATATGCATGTATTATTTATGCCATTTTCTTTTGTCTTAAATTTTTGATGCATTTCCCAAGTAGAAAATATTTCTTTTGGCATTGTCAAGACTGGGAATGTTCAATTATTTTTTACAGAGACACGGGAGACTGAGATTCTCAACCAGTTAAGCCACAGTTGTCAAAACTGATGATACAAAAGCCTTCAGCAGTGAAGGCAGGGCAATCCAAGCATGCTGTTCTGTTGAATCTCTTAATTTAGCTGCAGTGTCCCTTATTTAGGGGTCAGATAGTTTTCTAGGAGACTTGCACTTAGAGAAATGGGACTTGGCCATGAAGGTGGCTTGGACCTGGTCCTTCTGAATGCGGTGGTACTGAAATCCTTTTAAGAAGTGGAGCCGAGCTCTCCTCTCAAAAATGGGGTCTGACTCTGCCCCTTTGACAATGTCTTGCACAGCACCGAGCACCCTGTCGGCACTGTGATCTCCTTCTGTGGTGTTCCTCAGGTCTGAGGAATCAGCTAAATACAAAGTATAAAATATCCCATCGTCAGAAGTTGTAGACCATAGGGACAGGTAAGTGCTCTATGGGTGGATTAATGAGTAACCTCTACTTCGATTAGTCAACCTCTGTTCTCTGGCGATATAATCTGTGGGCTTCTTTTTTCCTATAAAAACTCTTCTTGTTTTCACTCAGTCACTTCCACCCAAGATGTCCATTGCCCCCAGTGAGCTGCTGTTCCTCCTGGCGAGCACAGTTTGTGTCACAGAGATTCTTGCTCTACCATCCCCTCTTCAGAAAGGTAGGATCCAAATTTGACATCTGTCTTTAACACTTTTCTTACTAGTCCAGTTTTTGTTTTTAGGCAGAGACAAACATGGAAGCCCATGTTGAAAAGAAGGGATTAGTTAAACCCCCTGAGAATTTGACCCTGAGGACTTGTAGACCTAGATACAGATAGCATTAAAATAATTTATCTGGTTTTAGTTCTTTGCTTTTGTTCCAAGTCTGGAACTGACAGCTATCTTTCAATGAGAAATTCTTATGATTTTTTAATCTAATTCCTTAATAATCCAAAATAAAATTGTATAAGCCTAATTTATAATTACCTAAGTAAATTAAATTCTGACAGATTTACAGTAAGTTAATGATCCTGGTTTGCATTTTGCTTGTGGGCTTCAAACAAAATGCAGCAAGTCCTGCAAGAATACCCTGTCTTATATTTTAAAATGCAGAATATTTTTTTCTTGGCACTATTAATGATTCCTTCAGGAAGACTTAGTAATTTATAGCCAACTGAAATGGAAATCAGATCTTGACTGCATGACCTATTATTTTTCCTTCTTTTTTAAATTTGCGCTCCTGAAAAGGGAAATTTCAAGTGATTTGCAGTGTCTAGGAAAACAAGCTTGCTTTCAGTTAGCTCTACTTTGGCTGTCAAAAGAAGCTTGATATCTAAAGCATGATACCAAGTTGTGTTCTCAATCACTCCAAGGTATGATGGTGTATAGGTTGGTATTCTTTTGCTTCACTGTTCTTCCCTGCAGATAAATGCGACTGAGGCTTATATACAAACCTCTCGTCTAACCAAAGACTTAGAAATTGGTCCTGTAACTGTCCAGACCAGTCTGTAAACTGGTGTGCAGTCCTTTGGCATTAAAGATGTAATGCCACAAAAGATTTTAGTGTTACTCAAAATATAAATCTTGTGTTCATGCTTGTATGTTGGGAGAACAGATTCAGTGTCTAAAAAAAAATTCTAGTTTGTGGATCTAATCTGTTCTCAAACTTGGTGCCAAATTCCTTTGATAGGAGCTAAATCCCAGTTTTTTATTTTGTGTCTATGTCCTTTTTCCACTCTCTTTGTTGTATCTTTGCAAATGGTAAAAAAGATGGAAGCACTGATGATTAGAAAAAAAAAAAGATTGAATTCTAAATTCATGTCCTTAGCTTGGACAATTTATATAAAGGATTATAAAATGTGGCTTCTGCAATGACAGAGGGACTGCACTGACCTCTGCCCCAGAACCTGCCAGCCAATTTTATGTTCCTAAAAAAAAAACAGAAAAAAATAAATCCAGAATAATCCTGTCTTTCTTTTTACTCCTCAGATCCTAAGTGTGGGCAGAAATTTCATGAGACAAAACCGTGGAGTTACTTTAACCTTTTCACACGCATTGTTGGGGGAAACCAGGTGCAACGAGGCTCACATCCATGGCAGGTTTGCACAAGCCAATATGATCTTATTGTCAGAACAGAGCCCTGACTTTTCCTAGAAATAACAAAAGGAAAAAGCAGGTGTACTTTGTGTTTGCTGACACTTTTGGTATGTATCAAAACTGTTGAGCTCCATCCTGCTTTTATCAAGAGCAGTGAAGCAGACAGGGCACCGACCCTTTCTACCCGCAGAGGAAGCCTTTATGTTTATCCTTGTTTCTGGAAGAGCATCTGTAGATCAGTCTTCTGTAAAGAGGTAGGGGTGACCCTATTCCAAAAAGACCTTCCCACTGCTGCCACCGCCAGCACCGCAGGCCATTGCCCAGCATTGTGAGGTTGCAGTTTGGAGGACAGGACACCGTGTGCTGCTTGGAGGCTCAGGATTGCAAACGATTTGGAGAACAGCCTCGGCATAGGCATCAGGGGCTCTCCTGCTCTGCAATGCACCCAGCGCCCAGCAAAGGAGAAATGCTGAGTGAACCAGCGACCTTTTCGGTTTGCTGAGTGCCTCAGGGACTTGGCATTTATTACATGTATGTCGTCTCCATCTATGCCCCCAAGTCATGGCTGAGGGGAATAGCAAGGGTTTAGGACCTCTTAGGCTCAAGAACTCCAAGAATGCCACAAAAAAAAGTGTTTTCTTGAAGTGCAGCATGAATTTTAACTGTGTGAACTGTGTAAGAGTTCATGCAAGTTCTCTTTTCTTCCTTCCTCAAATGCAATCAAAGCAGATTAACACATAGTCTTTAGCTGACTTGTCTCCTTTACGATGCAGATTTCCTTGAAGCGAAGGGAAAAGCATTTCTGCGGAGGCACCATTGTTTCTGCTCAGTGGGTGGTCACAGCAGCTCACTGCGTCTTGGACAGGTACGGATGTGATGCTTCAGGAGCTGCAGGTGCAGGAAAGCTGTGTGGGTTTTAACAGTGTCTGTGTGACAGTCTTGTAACCAACACTTTCCATGTTTCAACAGAAGGGGAGAGAAAAAGCAAAACTGTTAACTATTTCAAAAGTGATGAATGGTAAAATAGACTTCCCAGATGGGATGGAGACTCATTTTTGGGAAGTGTAGCATTAGTGCTAAAAGAAGAAAAATATAGGGCTGGGAATATTGTAGTCGGTATTTTTGTCTTGATTCTGCTATGGCTTCACAGAGATTCCAATTCCATTGTAGTTAACATTGAATCCCTGTGCTAATGGAGTTGGAATTATAAATTCCAGTTGTTATTATTGTCCAGTTGTCAGGATTATAATTTCCAAACTGTACTTCTAATTGTAAATTAGATCTGTATCAGGTATCGTATGCGATCATGTCCTGGTCAAATTAGGCAACAACATGCAGAGTTTATATTAAGTATAGGAGGACAGGCAATATCTAAATCATCCTAAGGTCTCTTGGCAAAAAAGTGATTAATCAAATCTGGTGAATATGTTTGAAACATAACAGCAAATTTATATGGATTGCTTTGGTATTCCATGACTTCACATTTTGATTTGTACTAGGAACTTGCAAGTGGGATTCATTATGTTTAAAGGCACAAACTGAAAAACGCTAGAGAGGTGGCATCTCTCTCTCTCTTTTTTTTTTCCCTATGCTTTGTTGTTTCCAAATCTTCCCTCCTCCATGCACAAAGCAGTATGAGTGAATATTTTTAAATACGGGACCATGAGCCGTTTCTTCCACAGACCACTGTCAGAGTGCTCCCAGCGCCCTGCAAATTACTTTTCTTCTCAGTCTTTTTCATCTCTCGGTTTCTGCTGTAGGGGGCATAGTCAGCTTGCATTAAATGCTCTAAAACCTTAAGATGAAAGGTATTACGTATCAATAGTAATAATGTTTTCATTGAAAAACAATTATATTTTCCTTCCATTTTGAAGATTATTTGCTTGAAATTTTGTTTTGTCATTCTATAGGAATTTACTTCAGGATTTGAAGGTCACTGCAGGAGAGCATGATTTGAGGATCAGGGAGCCTGAAGAGCAGACACTCCCTGTTAAATATGTCATTAAGCATCCAAAGTTTGATCCCAGGAGACCAATGAATTATGATATTGCCCTTCTGAAGCTGGATGGAGCCTTCAACTTCAGTAAGGCCATAGTTACCTGTGATCTTTTACAGTGAAGAAGGTAAAGCCTCTCTTTCTCGCAGATGCTGTGTAATGTCTTGACACTGAGTATATACCAATTTCTCAGTTACTGGATTATATAATTCAAATCTCCCAAGTAGTTTGCAACTGGAGGTAAGTCAGAAAGATATATCAGTTGTATTTAATGATGTTATAGAGACTTAATGCTCCCTTCAAGAAAAAGATATTGTTCTTTGTATGTAGAATATTAATATTTGGCCAAATAACAGTGTGGGATGTTTCTGTTTGCTGTTGATCTAGAGATGTACATGGAGATTTCTGCTTCAGGAGGACAGTAGAGCTGGTCAAAGGCAGGCCAGAGCTCAGAGCACATCACAGTGTGATTTGGCCAAATATTAACATTGTACATACAAAGAACAATACCTTTTTCTTGAAGGGAGCGTTAAGTCTCCATAAGATTGCATGAGATTATCTTTAGCACTGTCTGAAAGGTCCGTTTGGAAGTTCTAAGGAAAGAAAAAAATGACAGAAGGAGAGACATTATTTCTGTTTCCTAACCTATTTCCCAGCTATCCCTCAGCTATAGAGTAGTTTTGTCTTACAGGCATTTTTTTCTTCTTCTTCTTCTTTTTTTTTTTTTTTATGCTATTCCTCCTCATGTTTACGTGCTGTTGAGGGGCAGAGATGAGTTCAGCCTATTGAAATAATATGTTGCTATTCTGTAGATTCACCTTCACATCGCAAGGATACCGAGACCTGTGGTTCTGTTTTCTAATACATTATGAAGTAACAGCACAGAAAAATTGTCAAAGGGCAGACTTTTTGGTCTTTGTGGCATTCTTCAGATGCCACATAAATGAGAATATTCTTTATCTTTGAAGAACTGGATGAGGGGAGAAAAAAAAGTGCTTTTTGTTTCTCTTTCCAATATTTATTTAAGCAACTCCATGTTTCTGTGCCACAGGTACATCAGTTTTGCCAGCATGTCTTCCTGATCCTGGTGAAAAGTTCGAAGCAGGATATATCTGCACTGCTTGTGGCTGGGGCCGTTTGCACGAGAGTAAGCTACTGGCGTTGTTCTTTGCCAGCGTCTGCAACAATCTTCGTTTCTTTATTTCTTCCTTCTTTTGTAAGGGACAATGATTTCTACAGCACCCCCATCTCTCTGTAGCAGGCAGATGTTTTCAGCTCAGTGAGGTTCTCTTGCCAGTTAATATCTTTAGAAATTTTTTTGATAATTGCTCCAAAACACATTGTTTCAGCTTATTTCTGAAACTAAAAGCTTAAATGCATGGGCTATGAACATGAAGAAACCATCAACTGGGCATAGGAATTGTTTATATGTGAATTACCTCAAAATAAGTCACTGTAATATATGGACCTGTATTTAACATTGGAGACACATTTAAATTTACTCAAGTGAAACTAGGCTTATTTTCAAATGTACACATAACATGTGTATCAAAACATGTTTGTGACCATTAAACTGTCTCGAGCAGGACTGCAGCTCATATTTTTTTGCATGCTGGTATTGATATTAATTTCACCTTTCAATATTACTTTTGAGCAAATCCTTTTTTGTGTGTATGTGTTTCAGATGGAGTACTCCCTCAGGTATTACATGAGGTCAATCTACCAATCATAAACAGTAGGGAGTGTTCAAGAGTATTGTCAACTTTAAGGAAACCTATCCAAGAGGACACTATTTTATGTGCTGGATTTCCAGATGGAGGAAAAGATGCCTGCCAGGTCAGCTGAGGAGAGGGCCTCGTGTATGTACAAGTGTTTCTCAGACACTCAAGATGCTGTGTCCCTGAGTGAATAGGTGTGCTGTGTATTGCAATATTTGGAATGTATTCATTTTGTGTGCAAATTCTTCTAAGATCTGTAGAGGGGAATCTGCTTATTAGATGATCCCATTTTAATTATCGCATACATTGTACAACAGGGTCCTGAGAGTAATTTTGATTTGAAGACTCTGTCTTTTGCAGCATATTCCAGTGCAATAATATTTATGGCTTTCTAACTTCAGAATGTTGCTAATGTTCTCAGGAGGACAGTAAGAAAGTATTGTCTTGGATTACAGGAAGGAAAAGAAGCAAGATGAAAGTGAAGTGATTGTTCATCATGCATTATGAAATGAAAAATGAAATGGAAGAAAAAACTCCTTGCTCCATCTTTCATGCTGAAACAAAGCAGTTATATACCTTTGAGGCAATTAGTCTGACTCTCCCTTTTTAAAAATCCTGACTAAACACAATCAAAAAGTCTTTCTTCACTTCTTTTTTTAATAACTGTTCCCTAATTTGGTAGTTTTGACGCTATGGTCCAAAAGAAAGCTCGATGAACTCTTGGAGGCTTGCTCAGGGTTATTCACATGCTTTTGTGAGGAGAGCCCCGTTGGTTCTAGGTTTCTGCTTGTTTTGCACAGGGAGATTCCGGGGGTCCTCTCCTGTGCCGCCGCAGGCACGGTGCCTGGGTTCTAGCCGGTGTCATCTCGTGGGGCATGGGATGTGCTCGTGGCTGGGTGAGTAACGAGAAGAAGCTACATTACAGAAGAGGATCTCCAGGAATATTTACAGACCTCGGTGCTGTGCTGCCCTGGATTCAAGAAAATATGAGTACTGGTAATAAGTCTCCAAAATAATTTGTCTTCTATGTGGTCAACTCTTCTGTCTCGTAATAGTATTTCTTTTAAATTTAGGTTCTTCAAGGCTTGTACTTATATTTTCCCCCATACTTCCTGACAAAGTGCTATAGCTCCTCACAATGCCTTTAAATATATGGTATGACTGTTAATTGTCAATAACAATCAAATATTGTAAATGTTACACTCTTACTTCTATCTGGACTATATATACACATATATATTTTAATATTTAAGGACTCCTTTTATCCAACCAGCCAGCCAGCCTGGAACTTAGTTTTTAAATTGAAATTTCACTGGTTGAAAGCTTTGGAAATGCATACGCAACACTTGGAAGCCATTTGTTATTTTTCTCATCTAAAATGTCTTGGATTAGACATTAAACCAGGCAGGGAAAAGTGATACTTTGAGAGGTATTTTCACTCACTCTGCCTTGCGGGCTACATGCTACCTATGTAGGGGAACAGGATGAGGATTCTCTGTAATTTCCAAAGTTGTGGAGCTGGAGATATAAATGACCATCTGTTGAGGGGTTATTTTCTTTAAAAGATATTAGAAATTGCATTAAAATTTCTGCAGAATAATGGAAAACTGAGGAGAGCTCAAAAAGAAAAGTTTGGAGGGAAAAAAAATAACAAAACTTCCCATTAGCATACTTCAGCTAGTGACTGGAAAGAAAAAAAAAAAGAAGAAATGAAATCCCAGAGAAAACTGAAAAGGCTTTAGCTTCTGAAAGGTATTTTGTTCTCAGTGTAAAAAAAAATGTAAGGAAATTCTTTTTATTGAGGATTTCCAGGGAACGCTTTCAGTCCATGAAAAGAAATTATATGATTAGCTGTTGTGGTTATTTTGTTTAAAATGTAGGTCCTGATGAGTAGAAAAACAGAACAAAGGTTTGGCGGATAAAGCCAGGACATAGTTCCGAGTTGCACCGCAGCAGGTTTCCCTCGCCTGCTCGCCGGTGTTTCTCTGCCACGCCGGTGCAGAAGATCCTGTCCATGCTGTCCGTGGTGGCCAGCAGGCCCAGCGCGCCCGTGTCGCCCGTGTGACGCTCGCAGCTGGGCTCTGCTGCCCGTGCCTGCCCTGCGTGGCGTTTGCTCAGACTGTGCACGGAGAGGATGGTGCTGCGCACGCTGGGCATGGCCTGGCAGTGCGCCGGGCATTCCGGCAGCGGCTGCTCCAGAGCTGCTTTTTCCAAAGCCAGCCTTGTCTGAAGTGGTTTAAGTGCAAGCCTAGCTTATTGTGGACACAGTGTATCCGACAAGCATTTGAATTTGCTGCGCTGCTAGCGGTATGAAATTGCCATTTCACACTGATAAATATGAAGTCTATTGTGAATACAAAAGCAAAGTAATTTATTCTTTTCCATCCCTTCTCTTTCCCACTTGTCTTTAGATCTGAAAATGAAAAGTTCCACAGGTGAGTATGGTATTTTTAAGTTTCTACATGCATCAGAACTTGAATAATAGTTTTCAAAAGGACTGTTGTATAATCTATGAAGTGAGAAACATTTATAGCATGATCCATCAAAACACATCAAATATATGTTTTAAATGCATGTTTTCTTTTTGCTGTAACAGATGATTGCGTATGCGTCAAATCTGATTTCTGCTATTTCATTTTAACTCCACAATGCAGCATTTTGTAGTGCTCAGGGTGGCAAACTCCCCGGCAGTGAAGGAGAATTACATTTTCCTGGAAGCCCTGAGCATTTCTATCAAAATCACCAGTAAGTAGACAAAATGCATCTCTCCAAGAAACAATTCATGGTAACTGTGAGCTTCTTTTCTTGCAGTTTTTTGAATGGGAATTCTTCTATCCTTCCAGATTGTGTCTATGGACTCTGTCTGCACCAGAAGGGAATTATATATTGCTTCGTTTTTCCCACTTCGATATAGAGTCAGAAACGTTTTGTGACTATGATTCTTTATCAGTCTATTCAAAAGATGACAGGCTTGTTGGTGAGTTGCTGAAACGATCTGCCACTGCTAAACCCAGTGAGAACACTGCATTTTAACTTGCGTTACTCTCATTTTCAACTTGAATGCGTTGTAGTATACTATCTATAATAAGAGACAAGAGCATAGGAGGAAAAAGAGTGGAAAAAATGCCTTGTAGGGAACTCGCTCAGTGCGTGGTTTGCTGGTGTCAAGGATTTAAAGTTTTTAATACTATCCATTTTTGGCTGATGGATTAATGAAAGGCAATTCCCTTTTCATTCGTGAACTTTTATAACCAAGTACTGGGTCTGCAGATTTACAAAAATAGTACTTGCAGATTTCTCAAATGCCTAAAGACTTTGAATAGTGGTTATTCTCTATTAATGTATTTCAGGGAAATTCTGTGGAGGAGATCTTCCATTACCTATTTTGATTGGCTCCAATAGCGTAAGGCTGAAATTTGTGTCTGACAGCAAGAATTATGGAACTGGGTTTTCCATGACTTACAGAGCTCTTGCACCAGATACTCTTCCTGGTAAGTCTAAGTCTAAGCAGTACACCTGTCTGCCATACTGTGCCCCTGGGTGGTGGCCTGAGAAAAGGGTTCTTACGAAAATGAATTGGAGGAAGCTCCTATTCTTTTTCTACGTGGAGATGTAATGGAATGCCAGAAAGAGTTGGGCATTATATTAGATGCTTTTGAGAAAAGCCCTCCTGTACTTTTGTCCTGTCCTCTGCTTTTTGCTAGATTGTATCTCCTTTCCCATCTTCAAAGACAGATCATCTCTCTGGGAACAGAGATGAAACATTTTCTCTGCGTGTTTTTCAGGCAGAAGGATTTGACTAGCTCTTCTGTACCTGTCCTTTTTAACCTGTGTGAAAGCAGCACAATATTTTTTTCTGTGAATTTTGCGTGTGTGTTTGTGTGTGAATTATTTAATAGGAAATCACTCTGTCTCCATTTTTGTTTGCCTTTGGATTTACAGATTCTGGCTGTGAGTCTTTAGCTGTCCTTTTTGAAGAAGGAGTAATACAAAGTATGCACCATCCAGAGCACTACAGCAACCTGGCAAACTGTCAGTGGGTGGTTTTTGCTCCAGAAGACCATATAATCAAGGTATATTAGGAACTCTTATCTACAGAATGGAATGGAGTACTCTTTAGTCAACAACATGCAAATCAGGCAGCGAAGGAAAGCAAGATCTAACAACATAACCTTGAATAACACTGGTGGATGTAATTAGGAGAAATTGTTTTTCATCCTGAAAGACAGATGGGCTTTGGTTTCTCCTTCAGATTATAGTAAAATAGGATTTCTCAGTTTAAATTTTATTATGGCAAATTCTTCTGGCAAAAATAGTGTGCTACATATCACCTGTGAGAGGTCTGAATGACACAACCCCCAGATTCTAAAGGAATCATTGAAAATAGTAAAAACTCATAAAAAGTCTTTGAATTTCTCTTTGCAAGCCTCATGAACAGATTGTTTTTTTTTTTTTTCTTTAAAGCTTACCTATCAGTCTTTTGAAGTAGAAGAGAATGAAGATTGCTCTTACGATGCTGTGACTGTGTATGAAGATGTAGGAAAAGAGGAGGAAATTGGTTTGGCTTTTGATTTTCAACCTAATATGCTGATTTGGGGATGATCCATTACTCATTATTTCCACTACCTCTATTTTGCAGTGTAAAATTAAGTAATTTCTCTTTAGAATCTCAGATGGTATTATGGATACTGGTCTGAGTACCTTGAAAAATACTTGCATGCACTGCTTTTTCTGTTCCACTTACACAGAACAATTTGTGTATTTGTAAATATGATATGATATGTAAATTCTATCTGAAAAATAGAAAACAGTCCTTCAGGCTGAGTCTTTTTATCTGCTCCTCTGTTACACATAGTTATTTTTTACTCTCCTGGATGACAGCTGGAATACAGTGAATATTGGTTGCCTGCTATTGGAAGATAAAATGGTGTAGAAGTGCATTTTAATCTGCTGTGATTCTTTTTTTTTTTTTTTCATCTTTAGCTAAGTCTTGTGGATTTGCTCTACCAGCTCCTGTTCTGAGCTCCTCTGATATGATGCTGATCGTCTTTCACTCTGATGAAACAGAGACCTTTGGAGGATTCAGAGCTACAATCTCTTTTGTTCCTGTAGCAGGTAATAGAAGTAACTTGAGAGTTTGCCGCTTTGAGGCAGCACACTGGGTTCTTCAGTGAATATGCATTTTGCTCCAGGAGATTCTCATCTAGGAAACTTTTCAGTGAAATAACTTTGTGAACCTACTTTGGGATGTAGTGAGTGGATAGAGAGAAGTAATGGCTGTCCTCTAAGCCTCAGAGATTTGTTTATTGTAAGGACATTTTGGTGCATTTGGTGCATATATCTGAGGATGTAATAGCACAGATTTCTACTGTAGGAGTCTAATCCTTCCACAGGAATGAAAATAAATAAGAGTGGTTAATATAAAAATATTACTTGAGACACCCTGTTAGTATGTTTTTTATTTTTGTTTGCTAGATTTAAATACTTTGGATTCAAGTAGTGAAGAAAAACTTAAAGATATGGATATGACTGTAGAAGACCTACAGATTGAGACAGGTAAGTCAGTATGGGGTAAGTTTTCTTCATGAGAATGCATAACAAAAATGCTGTTTTCTCCAGCTATCTAATAAATGCAGTCTGTGTTGCCTGTCAAGACCTTTAGTTAAGAGATGTTGAGGAAATAAGAGTATAAAAGATAACTCTTGTGTGCTTTAAAATAGCAGAAGGTATTTTTTTGGCTTCCTTAGCTTGTAAAGTCATTTGCAGCAGTGTACTAATTATTTCAGCTTGTATGTCAGCTTACACTTACCTGCTGTGGTGAAAAACGTGCAAAGAGTATGAGGTGGTTGAAAATAATGTCCACAATTTTTGAACTTGCCTTTGTAATTCTGGGATGTAATGGAGAATAGCTTGACTACATATTCATTGTACACCTGAGGCTAAAGCTTTTGAAATAGCGTAGGACCAAAAAATACTCTTTTGTAAGCAGTCGTTTTGTCCTTGGTAAAGCTATGTTTTTGCAAAGATCACCTCCTCTTGCTATCTCTGAATATTTGAATCTTTTGCAATGTGGAAAGTTGTGGGATTTAGGGAAAAAAGGGAGGGTAAAAAAAATGTAATGTAGCTTGCAGATTGCCTTTTAGATGGGCTATTCCTTGCTTTTCTAAATCTCATTCTCTGAAGATTTCTCTGATATATAAATCCTTTCTGTTTTAGATGGTATTTGTGGAATGGCTTCAAATCAGCCCCGGTTCCTCTTCAGTAGGGTAATTGGAGGTGAAGAAGCTGTGCCATACTCGTGGCCTTGGCAAGTCAGCATACAAATTTCAGATGAGCATATATGTGGAGGAGCAGTTCTTGCCAAAGAATGGGTTGTCACAGCTGCTCACTGCTTTAAATCGAAGTAAGTGTCGTTGTAGGAACCCTTCTCTGGGATGGTCTGTGCTTGCACCGAGTGTCTCTGCTGTGTGGTGGTTCTGCCCAGGGCGGCTGGCATGGTTAGGGTTGCTTAAAGCTTAGACTGGCGTAGAATTCCTTTGCTCCACCACGCATACATGCTAGGATCACAGTGGCAATAACCGCCTTCTGTACAATTGATCAGATTTAAAAGGTCGAGTCAGAATTAAAAGCAAATGTTTAAGTTTGCAAATTCAGAAAAGCTCCGCAAGGTATTCATCTGTAAATAATTCGGACTCTAAAATACTTTCTAAAATGTCCTTAGATGTTGCTGAAGGCAGTGTGGTCTTACATGATTATTGGCTGTAGGACAACATTAGTCATTCAGCTGGGACTGGACCTCGTGGTTATAAGATTCTCAAGCCATGAAACCTGTTCTACCAGCCTGAGAAGGTACCTCCCCCCACTTTCTATTTTCTTTTTTTCCTTTTTCTTTTTTTTGAGGGAACCATACAGAGACTTGTGGACGGTGGTCACGGGACTTCACGATCTTGCAGAGCAAGAATACAGACAGGTACTATAAGTTATGCTTAATAATAGCAGTTTTTCTGTAACTGCCAATTGTATCAGCACAGAACTGTGCCTTCACCAGCAGTTATGTCCAAAGCTCAGTATCTTGGAAATCTAAATATTTAAATATTTCCTTCTCTTAAAGAATCATGTATATAGCTTGAAAACATATTAAACTAAAATTCATCAAACCTCAGATTTCAAAGTCATTCAGAAAATGCCGATGTCCTTGCTTTCCTAGAAAAGGACAGTAAAGCAGCTTATTATCCACCCCAGTTTCAATAAGACCACCATGGACTGCGACATTGCGCTCCGCTGTAGCGGTGCCTTGGAGACCGTGCTGGGCGTCGTGACATTGGTCTTGTCTGTGCTTGGGTTCCTGGAGAGGTGCTGGGTGAAGTCTTTGCCTGTGTAAGCCGAGATAGGCATGTAGGTAATAAATGAGTGGGAGTAAAGCAATTAGAGCATTGGGAAAGGTGAAGGGACCCCAGAGGTATTCTTCATCCTTTGTGATGGCAAGTGAGGCAGGTATTATATCTTGAATTCATGCTTTTGCTGGCTTCTGAGGTGTTTCTGTCTCTGTTCCAAGATAGAGAAAAGGGGAAAAAACTGCATCAGCTTGAGGTCCCCATACTGGTGCTGGACACGTGTCAGAGCTATTACATAAACCTCCCCAGTAAAGTGACCCAGAAGATGATCTGTGCTGGGTTCCCTCTGGAGGAAGGCAAGGATTCGTGCACAGTAAGTTGCGCGCATCAGCTTTATTTTCTGCCGCTTGAGGTATGATTCTGAATAGGTTCTGCAGTGGGGAGTGTTAAAACCATAGTAAGAGCCATTGCCTTCCAAACACGCTGTGTCTGATTCACAGAGAAAACAATTACTCATATTGCATAAAAAGGTATATTTCTTGAATAACGGTTAGCTTCTATCTTTTTCTACCTTTTAAAAGCATTCAGATCCAAACACATGAACAGTTGCAGCCTGTCATAGCTGAAATGATGTCCTAAAAACATAATGTTAGCTTGTAACGAGAGCTCTTTGTCCTTGTATAGGGTGATTCTGGTGGCCCGTTAGTTTGTCCTTCAGAAGATGGCTCTGGACTGTACACCCTTAATGGAATCACTAGCTGGGGCCTGGGCTGTGGAAAGAAAAGCTACCCAGGAGTATACACCAATGTTGGTGTTTTTGTTGACTGGATCAAGCAGAGTGTTAATAGTAGTGGTAAGTATGGAAAAAATAGTTAAGATAATCCTTTTGCTACTGATAGATGATTTTGGAGGCCTTTTCCCGGGTCCAACACTTCCTGAAATCCTGGTTCTTAAAAATATCCTAGCAGAGTGCCCAGAAAGAGAGGAATCCAAAGCAGTAGTCATTTCTAAAAATCTCATTTCTCCAGGATGTGTAGTTCCTGTTTTTAATACATTTCTCTTATTGATGAATAGTACTTTGTCTCACTGCTACTTTGCTGCCTCGTTTCTCATGATTAGGAAGAGGTAGGGAAGAGTGACCTGATACATGATAGTCAAGTCCATTTTGACGAGCTTACTGACTGCTTTTGTTTGATGATCTTTGTGAAGCTTACCCTGTTCTTCTTCGTTGTTGTAGATCTTCCCATTTTCATGGTGTAACTGTCAAAGCAGCAGTTCTGCTGGACAACATTGCAAGACACTTCCAAAGCACAAGTATCATTGCAAGCCAAGCTTGGTGAGAGTGTATGTACGTTCATGCTTGGTGAACGGATTCCAAAGTAGCTGATCCTTGCTTCAGTGAAGTTACTGATTTACCCGAATTGAGACTTTGGCCTTAAATGCATGTTCTTGGGGCAGGCATAAGTTGCTTTAAATCTTCTGAAAGTCTGAATGTTTAAAAGAAAGAAAAGGGAAAGATGAACTACCATATCTCAAGTGTGTTCTTGAACATAGTACATGAGGGTATTCTGCAGATGTGGGATGAAATAAGCACTCATGTAAAACAGGACTGACAGACTATGAAGATAAATGGGAGCATCAACTCTGACTCTGAGAGGACCTGAGCAGTGGTGGTAGTAGCGAATCACTGAGGAACAGGAGGATATTGTGTAGAGACAGGTGATGTGAATCAACCCAATCATTGGGAAAAGGGTATTTTTTAATGCATTTAAATGGTAGTCCTCGTGGACCGATTTCACTGATTTAAGTGTGGCAATACTCTTATCAGCTGAGAAACCTGGCCACTGATGCCTGTGATAATATGGTAACAGCTGCTCCAATAAGGAGGCTGAATTGCAGTGTAGTGTGAAATAGTCATTTTTCTGGCTCTGTTTTTTATAATTTGTACTTTTTATAAAAGTTATCAAATGCAGAGAAGGCATTACTACTACTACAAGATGGAGCAGTAGTAACAGAGATGGCACTTCCAAAGCTGCTCAGGCTTTAATTAATGAAAATAGTCTGTATTATTTCCCATTTTAACAAATACTTTGTTGTTCAAATGGATACAAGTGTTTGAAAATACAAGCATTCCAGACCAAGGGCCTCTAGTACCATGCAAGAACTGAGAAATATTCTAATTGACCTGTAGGTATAGTTAAGCAGGTCTGTGTGATGCAGGCACTGTAAACTGAGCACACTTAAAGGCAAATAGCAGTTTGCTTAATGCTGAAACGGTTGCTTACACAAGAAGTTGTGATGACATCTTCCAGTTATCTTTGCAAATGGTGCTGTGCTGGGTCTTCATGTTTAAAACTCGATGGGGCCTTTTGACTCAATGGCCATTTGACTCAAAGGTTTTAAAAAAGGAGCGGGGTGGGAGCCACACACATACAGGTGTATCAACTGGGCTACTATCTTAGATTATTTATATGTGATTTGATTGTTAAGGTACTTACTTTTTGCTTGACTTTATCATGTTGGCTTTTCATATTTCTCCTACTATAGCTTTACAAGTAGTCTAATTTTGTTTGTTCTGTGTTTTACCAGTCTTTATAAGCTGCCACAACCTTTCAGTAATGCAAATGTGAAATGTTTTGTGATGCAAGTGCAATCTGATTCAAAAATAAAAAATACTTCCAATGGAGTTCATATAATGGAATTGTATTTTAGTTTTTACAAAATCAAATATGTCTTGTTACTGTCTTTCAGGAAAAATAAGTAATCTCTGCTGGAATATGAGTGGGCTGGGAGACCTAGATACTATTTGCTACTGCTGGAGTAAACCTGGTCTCTACTGCTCAGGCTTGAGAGCACAGCAGATTCCATATACTTTTACAACTTATTATTTATGCATGTGATTTACAAGACTTTGGGAAAATAAAAGGAGGGAATTTGGGACTAAGAAGTTGGCATTAGTGTGTGTTCACACAGCTAATCAATATACATACCATGATGTTTTGCAAATGTAGTTCTTTTTCTGTGCAAAATGTGCAAGGATTGGAAAGCTGTAAGGCAGTGTGTGTTGCATGGCTGTTCATTGTGTAAGAAGGGCATTTGAAATGCACCACAGTGGATTATGGATGTGATTTATATGAATGGACGCTATGAAAGTGCTGCTAGACTAAAAGAAGTTATGTGAAAAAATACTCAGGAAAACTTCAAAAAATGTGTATAGAACTAGAACTTTTTGTACTCAGGACCAGGACCTGATTCCTATATATGCAAAGTCATCCCCAGCCCAACCCACTTGAATTACTTGGCAGTTGCATGAGGTGTTTGTTAACCCCATGGTCAAAAGGTGCGGTACTATTTTCAAAAGCAAATCGGGTTCCCCAAGTGCTTAAAATCTGGATAAAAATCTTCTCTTGACATGCAATATTGAAATGTCTTTTTTGTAACATTGTATGGAACCAAATGAAGACTCATTGTATTGTGTACTGGCACTGCGCTTAAAAATAATAATAATTTTTATTCTAAATATTTTGTTAAGTATTGCTCTGACCCTTGGTGAACACAAGCATCTGTGAGCAATAGCTTTCCTGGTGAGAAATGGTCGGCCTGCTCTGTCTGCACGTGTGCATGCATGTGTGAGCTGGCACTCCAAACGCATGGCCAGTGATAGACCTTTTAGATGGCATTTGCAGGTTACTTTTTTGTAACTTCTGTTGGAAACGGGAGATCTTCATCACAAAAACAGAGAATACATGTTCATTGTTAAAGCAGGTCCTGGAATAGGACTGAAAAGCAACTGCCTCAAATCTGAATTCTGGCAATATAGAGTAACATACGATGTTAAAAACACTGTTGATCTTGGGCTTTGTGGCATTATCTTAGTGAAGTCGCTTGTTTCATAATTGGTTTCTGAGTCTTCTCCTCCTTTTAGGACAGCAGACTTGCTGCAGTCTGCATTGCTCCTGGTAGCTCGTGCTCTCGTGGCCTCTCCGGTGAAGCCAGAGGAGCTTCTTTCAAGTGGACTCTGTCTCAAGGTAAGTGTGCCATGTGTTTCCCAGGTTCTGCAAGCCCCCTTACTTGCCTTTTTCTTACTCAAAGACTGATCTGTGGTCATGAGGGTAGATTAATACTTCTTATCAAAAGTGCTGCTGTTGATTGCCCAGTTGGGCAATTATTTGTCATATTACTAAGTGCCTTAAAAGTCAGCTTTAAAATTAGTTTAAAAGCAGACTAAAATTCCAAAATACCGTGGACTTTGGGATAAACTCTGTGAAGTAAGAATGTGTCTTGTTTCTATTGCTTTTGTTCTTATGCTCCTTAGTTTTTAGAGAGGCCAAGTGGCATTTTGCCATGTGGATATATGGTGGCCTCACTGTGGAAAGCTGCTGCCAGCTGTACTATTACCTTATTGTAAGAAAATACAAGGTCATGGCACCTCAGTGAGAGAAGATAATACCTGAAATCATGGAAAATGGGTTGTTCGGGCCTGGAGTTCCTCAGCTTTCATATTCTGAGGGTAGTGGCCATCTGTAACACTGACTTAAAGAGTTAATTTAACAGAGATGTATCACACCCCTCAGCCTCTCTGTTTTCTGCTGCCTGCATAATACAGGATTGCATTGCATTTTGGTATTGATTCTCTTGCTTTTGAAGTCAGGTGAGAAAAAAACAGTGATATGAAATAAGGATTACGAAGCATGGTGCTTGTAAACCTTCTGAGCTTCCATAATCAGTAACACAGAAGAGTAATTACGTTTTTATGTCAATTCTTTCTAGGAGTCATAATACAAACATTCCAAAAATTAATACAGCAAATGTATTATTTTACTTCCTTCTTAAACTACTGTCTATAACTTGGAACACTGAGAAACTACTCCTGGCATTCTTTTCTCATAGATTTGGTCAGGTTTTTTTTGTTTATTTGATTGTTTTTTCCTCCTTATAAAGAAATTTGCATCCTGTGGACATCCTTTTATTTTAGATAAACTAATCTGAAACTAGTGTCATGTACTTGGACTTCAGAGACTTGTGCTTGGCTTCTGTGTGTCGCCAACTCTCGACTCCTGTTCTGCAGTCTGTAGATGCTATAGTGATATTTAGTCTCACATTTTGGTGGTGAAAGCAATCGGGACCCCATAGATACCAAAATTTATGTTAGTACAATAGTTTATCGCTATGTAAAATTTTTGCCCAGCAGATGGAGAAGAAAATAGGAAATAATTTATTGCCCCCTTTCCCTAGTTGATTTTACTGTGAAATGGCAGTTTGCCGGTATTTGGCAACGTGGACTGTGGACTGGGCTGCAGCATGCAATCTGGGACAATACAGCAAATCAAAGGGCAGTGAGTGCTGCGTCTCCCTGGGTGCCCAAGCTTTGCAGTCCGTGCCTTACTTTTATTCTTGCTTTTCATGCATTCTTAGTGGTCTTTCATTAGGATTTGCAGTCTAGAGGGAGCGTGTTTGTGCATGAAAATCAGTTTTATCTGAGCATGCTTGCAGCATGAATGCAAGCCTGTTCCTTCCTTGGTTGTGAGCGGTGCTGTTTGACTCGCGGGGTGTGTGCGGTTGTACCTGGAGTGCTTCCACTTGGATATTTTTACAGGACGGACTGTGGCGAGCAGGGGCTGGAGCAGAGCTGCTGCATCGGAGCTTTTCAGCTGCTCGGGCGTGAAGGCGATGGGAGCTGAGGTAGGAGCCTGCGGGCTGCTGGCGAGCCGAGCCACCAGCCTCGAGGACGCCGCGTTGGCGCCTTTTTGTGCCGCCGGGTCT